GCCTATCGTTTTACAATACAGGAATGAGAAGAGACGAAGAGAGTATGTTTTGTGTGCGAGCTATATACCGTCGCGATCGCGAACTCGCACACACGGGGTCGTTGACTCCCGGTGCGTGTGTGTGGCTCTCGCTGTTGTTGTTGCTTTGTCCCGCAACTCGGCCGATCGCACCACTGGCATCAGCCAACAAGCTACATCGAACTACATAGAAGAACACAGTATCCACAATGTGTTGCTACAACTCACTGTACATTTTGCTCCACATTCTGTTTTCCTCCTCGAATCCTAAATGGTGACAGATATCCAGGGACATTAAACATCACATGTAAATATTCATTCATCCGCAACACAAAATCGTAAGGAATAGGATCCATAAGATGTAAAATTGATAAAAATGCTTCAATCAGAGAAATCTGTACCTTTCTGTATAATGGAATTCCGAGCCGTACAAACAATAGGTGTTATAGCAACGCTTCCCACACTTGGGTTTTTATTAATATACTCTCATTCCAACGATTCCTTCCTTTCACCGTCCATTTTGTTAAAAATAGGTTCATAATTAATGGGAACTTCTTCCCAAACTGTTCTGCCATGTTCCAATCATCATCCTTTTTTGAATACAACGTCGTGATGACCTGATGACTAGCACATACTGGGGCACAGGATTATTCATTTGAAAAATGGCAAAATGTTTGGAAGAGAATGATTCCCATGAACAACCCGACAATTTTACTACCAATCCTTGCCGGCCGTAAAGTGCAATTAAGAGGAATGCCATAATTGTGGGTTGTTTATATTCATCTTAAGTAGCCATTAAAGGTCCTATTTTGGTTTCAACGTTAAAAGAAGTGACATATTTGACACGAAAATTTCAAGAAAAAAAGTAAAGGAATTAAATAAAAATCTCTTGTATAAAATACATGTTTTTTATAAACTGAATTCTATAGAGCACCGCAAAATATTTTTAAACAAATAGATTCAAATAAAATCTGTTATGGTACGTCTTAATGATAATTGTAATGTTTCTGAAAATCGCAATTAGGCATCGAAATTCGATTTTTGTGAAATAAATAGCAGCCCTGAAAAGGGCCTTTTTATTGGGCGTATGATTGTTACTCCTGTCCATACACTTCAAATGTTTCCATGAAATTAGGTCCAGGGGTCTTCTACTTTTTCTTCTACAGGTATTACATATTAAACATTTTGACTTGTTAAAAATAAAGAAGGAAAACTCACCCCTAATTACCACAAAAAAACTTTTTTGAGCGGACACGTGTTTCGTCCACTTCATACGGTGGCATTATCAACGCGAGACTGTTTCGCGACAGTCTTGCGTTGATAATACCCACGTATGACATAGCCAAAGTTCGAGTTGAAGAAACGACATTATTTTACTCTTGTTCTTCAGTCTTGGATTTGGGACGTTATGAGTTTTTTAATCAAGCGTCAGTTAAACAGCTTACATTCTTTTTTAAATATGCTTGCTCAGCTTAATAAGACAACACATACGCACGTGATAAGAAATATGTTTATGTTATATGAAACTCCAAAATCAGTACAATCATGAGTTAAAATAAATTAAAGTTTGTTGAAATCAACCAACGCAAATAGATAGTACAAAAATATAAAATATGCAAATGAAGATTATGCAGATTATGTCGAATGAAAATAAAAGCGATGTTTAGAAATTGTATATGTTTCGCAAACAGTTTGTATACATAAACGTAAGTAAACATGTTTTTTTTTCCGGTTGCTCTCTCTGCCGGATCATTAGCTGTATGGAGCAGGCAAAAATCTCGCAAAGCGCGACTCATTTTGTTTATAAACAATCTGTATTTTGTGTTCGGCGCTCGGTAGCAAATCATTGACAGTTAATTTAAATATAGACCAATGTTCCAGTGATCTCGCTCGAATTCGGGATCAACGGCCGACCGATAATAGACTATTCGCCGTCGTCGTCGGCATCGCGATGTTGCCATCCATTTCATGTACCATTTTTATGATCATAATGTTTGCTCTTTTTTATCAAGTAGGTGCATCTGTTACGTACATTTATATATCGTGTTTGCATTCCTAATTTTTATCATTCAAAGGTGGATTCGTTGGAGAATGAAAAAATAGTGAGATTACTTAGGCAGTCATTGTTTTTTTTATTTCAACTGCATGGAGAGCTAGTCTGACAAATTCACGATAAGTATCCGCAGTTCTATCTGCATTTATTGTTGAGATCAAAATTAGAATTCATATGTCAAGGGAGAAGCAGAATCCTTGTAAAGTGAGTTACTCTACAAAACCGTCTCACTCTCGAAGAAGTTTTCTCGTAAAAGTATTAATCTTGTAATAGAAGATATTCATTCTTATATTTTCCTATGATTAATATTGAAAATTTTGCGTAAAACTATTGAAGAGAGAGTGACAAGTCCCTAATGGTACTGACGTAACTAAGCGCCAAAAACGTATGCCCCTCACTTATTTCTGATGAAAAGAAAAAATTCGCCTGATCTTTCCATGAAAGTACAGCAAATATTATTTTAGTTTCTAAAAAAGGCAAAGTTTTCTATTATACCATTCTGGCAGCTGGCAGTCTGGTATACGGTTGCCATCTCTAAAAGAGTCCAGAACCCGGACATGTCAACAGGTTTTCTTAAACATAGTCAGTGTAATAAAAAACAGTTGAAAATGTCATAAATCACCTTTTTATTTATTTTCAGACCTTAAAATTAAATTTAGTCATTTTTTATCATCATTTTAAATGTACCTAACAAAACAGAATCTTATTACAGTTTCTTACAAATTGTTTTAATAATCAGTTAGATTTTTTTACGTGTGTCGCGTGCGGCCCAAGACTAAATTTTTAAACCAGGACTACAAATGAAGCCCCCCCCCGGACGCTCCCCGGATGCCTTCTAAACTAGGACAAATCCGGGGAAACCCGGACGGATGGCAACCCTAGTAGGGTACGGAAGTCAAGTTTGCACTCGGCCTGTTTCTTTTCTATCTATTTAAATAGGTATATTTCAAATTCTAAAATGTAACTTTTTATGCTTGTTCATTCTCAGTTTTCTTTTCAATCAAAGCATCTTCTTCTTAAAGAATGAGTCAAGTTCGTAGAATTCCTATCGAAGATCACATCTTTTATTTCAAGGGAAGCCGTTCTTTTCATTTGGGTATAGGTTAAACTTCCATATCAGAAAAATAGTAACAATGTTACATACCTACGTATCAAAGGTAATCTAACTGCTGCGTCCATAAGTGATGAATATTACCAAGGTCCTTAACTTTTTGTAGCTCACGGCAACGTCGACGAATGTAACGACAACACGACATTACGTAACGATGAGCGGTGCTATTTCGGCCACTACCGCCTTCAATCCGTTCGTTCCTCGATGAAAAGCAAAAGTTCAAATTGTTTCACCGCGAAACGTTGATCAGGAGTACCGCCCAAACATATACATATGCAACAGCAAAATTTCAATCTGAAGAATCTGACATCTTATAATACGACTAGGGCTAGGGTATAGGGCTAGGACGAGGGTATACAACTAATTGTAATTGCATTGACTAACTGAACGTTTTGGCGGACTATCAATAGTCAGCAATTGATCGTGAATTATATGCCATAAATTTTTGATTTTGCTAAGGGTATTTTAATGGTTTCTATGAATAAATCAGTAGTTCTGATACAATTTTTATTTCCTGATTGAATAAGTGTGGATATAGGCAAATCAAATACGATATACCAATCGAGGAAACTAACCAAAACCGTAGGGGTGATAACTAACTTGAAGCAACTGGTTTTGCTGCTCCTATACCTAGATTCCCATTCAGTGTTGCTAACCGTCAACTACTACCAAATGCAATACTTGAAAATCCAATTGAACGTTTAGTTTGTCCCTAAAGAAAACAAAACTGTTTTCTGACGTGCTTGCCATATTTGAAAATGCCAAATTTTAAAGATTGCCTTCAACGGATATAGACACCTTCGTGCTATAAACCTTGCGAATAGCAAACGCATTTTGTATATATCTTTAGTATTATTTTTACAACGCTGCATCTACATATTGTCGGTACTACTATTTCTAAGCACACGTCTATTTGCGTGTCTATGGAGGTACCTTGCATACGTAGCACACTCGGTATGGACCGCAACTACGGTCAGCGACCTTCGGATAATCTGCGCGATAGCGAGCGATAACTAACTCATTGCTACGATAATACATCATCATGACACTATACATATATGCATAAGTGTGTATATAAGTATGTACATATGGTATCTACGGCGAAAGGGTCGCGAATTAAGTCAGCCGACCTTTCTATCGTACTAAAATGTCAGCTAAACGATCACTTATCAAAAGCTGCACGCACCATGATGCATGATGCGTATATTGTGGAAAGGTCATATGCGATAACAAGTCCCGAAATGAACGCATTTATAATTTGATTGCGTGTAGCAATTCAATTGATGTCGTATAACATATTACAATCAGTACAATTAGATATCTTGGACTGATAATAAAGGCACTTGTTATAGGTACATACCAACACGTGACGTACCAGTTTTAGTTTAACGTTTACCACTCTTTCATTGGTGATATGCTCTCTATCACAAATATTTAGATATTTAAGGGTTGTACATTGTACCTCTTATAAATGTGTTAAACTGGATATAATTACTATGTGTCACTATTGTAGTTAACACCCTCACAAAATAGTAAGTCTAGGTATAATACAAAGTGGATTAAACTTATATCACACAAAACAAGCAGAAAATCTAACCGTCATTTCTCACTGAAACATTATCACAAAAAATCGTATGTATCACGTAAACTACAAACATTTCACATCATTAAGAGATTAAATAATCATGTACCGGGAAGGTATTAAAATATTATCGTTTATTTGACAACAAATGGCTCCTAGTCTTAGGCACTTCTTTTTGTGCCTTTTAAGTAACAATTTTTTTCTCTTCAATCCGAATTTTAATAATATCAACTTACATTGATGCGGCAACCAATTTCTTTTAAATTCAGATTTTCCCGCCTCGGATTCTGCAGTCACATGCTTTCGAGGTCGTTGGTCTTTCTCCGCAGAATAGGCTCTCTTATAAGCAAATATATTATCATAAGTCTTTGCATCAGGAACAGGTGGTACTATGTTTGAAGTATGTAGCGCTTTCAGCGGATCGAACTGATCACTGTAAAAGTCTAGATTCGGATCGTAATTTACATCTTGACCCATCTGCTTCTCATCCGATCGCGAGTGACCACGATCTGCAGCCATCTTAGGTTTACTGACCAGAGCGCTCGTCGATTGTAGCGTACCTTATGGTAACTAAGCAGATAGTAAACCGCTGTAACAGTGAAAGGACATGATAGCGTGTGATAGCTTAGTTTTGTATTTGACTCCTAGGTGGCGGATGTAGTCACATAATCTAAGCACGTTAACTTTGAATGTTACTTTAAATTTACTTTAGATAGAAAGGGGAAAGTCAAAAAAAACGTTTCTATAAAAATAGGATTAATGGTTAGACGCATAAATATAAAAAGAAACCTCAAACCTTTAAATTCATTAATACGATGGGTAAAGACTCTTCAAAAACGATATTCTTTCTATTTTCTGAAAACCAAATAAGTACTTTGCGAATCTACTAAATGTTTAATTTCATTTTTTCATTGTTCTAGGTGTCTGTCGACAACAAGAAAAAGAAAGCTAAAGTTTAAACGGGTTTATCCAAAGAACCGCACTGAATTATTTTCGTTTTCTAAAGGATTTTTGAAACCCAAAGCCATACAGTGGCGGGGACACAAGTCTTAGGGGCCCAAGCGCTCATGTCGCTGGCGATGCCCTTTATCGATAACGATCTGCTATGGTGTCCTGACAATGATGGAAAAATGGTCGACCTCTCATCCTGCTTACAAGTAAGTCCATTTTATATTTCTACATAAAATAAAATATATAAACAGAAATGTAGGTAACAATTTCGAAAATGGGTTACTGTGTTCTGTCGAAACTGTCTGGGACGCGCTGTTGATACTCGAAAAGATTGAAATCGCGATCCGCGTCTGGCAGTTTCGACAGAATACTGACCACTTGTTTGTTAGTGATATTTTATTTATGATTTAATTCAAATGCTGTTTTAAGTTTTAATCATCTAAATTTTGAACTTGCTAGTAGTTCTCTTGATATAAATTGATTATAAATATCAAAAAATGTATCAAAAGTTTCAAAAGAAATGATAAAACAACCCTTAGGCAACATCAGCTTCTTATTCTCTTTTTTCAAGAGATTTGACTATTATTTTTACAAACTTACTGTACTGGAATAACGTGGTATATTGATAGATTAATTTAAAACTAAGCATATTGACTTTTCATTGGTTTTAAGGTTCTTTTTTATTTATTATTACAGGATGCTGCCTCGGTTGCAGTCGGTCAACAGAATACAGCCGTTTCGGCCGGTAGTAACTTGGGAGAATTATCACAGACCGACCTCACTTCTTTGGTAACAGGATTGGGACCGGAAAATACCCCTTCTGATCACATGCCCGATACCGAGGACATCTTTAAGCAATTAGGCGACAGTAATTTCGAACTCGATCATTTCCTCACTGAACTGAATGCAAACGATATCAAGGTGAGTATATATATACATACATGTGCACATATTATTTGTAGTATCTATAGGAACATTTTTATTGTACTTTAAGCACCCATATTGTAGAATTAAGTACTACAAGTGTAGCACCCAAATTTGCTCAGTGGCACCATCTTTTGGAGCCATAGCGTTTTTTAATGAGATTATAAATTTTTTGCGCATGACTCTACCTTTTGATCGAAATATTTTTTGGTTTTATCTGAACTTAATTTTATTTTTTTTTTATTATTACAGCAAGAGGAAAACAACAATGTGCTGAATACATCATCGGTACATTCGCCGACAAACGATGGTAGCGCGAACTCCAATTCACAGCACAAATCAAATCTTCTAGAGCGTAGAAATTCTGCATTCAAATTCACGATAGCTGCCGCGAATCCTCTCCTCGCTGAGAAATTGGCTACACCTAGCGGTCATTCGTCTCAATTGGCAACTTTCAACGGTCGACCGGAGGTGGCGCCTCTTATACCAAAAGTCGAGAAAGGTAAATCAATTTTTGTTCCTTTATCTTTAGTGCCAGATTTATTTTTAGACATAAACGGGGCTGAAGATTAATATTAATTTTCGGCATATGTTGTTTTATAACCCTTGATTATTGTGGGTTTATTTAAGTGTTTTCCTATTTTTTTACGAACTTATTGATTTGCACTTATGGGAAGAATGCGTAGTCAAATAGTAAGGCCACAGATGGCGAAATGGCACCATTAATGAACATCATTATCTATATGATTTTGAAATTAAAAAGAAAAACTCCGTATAAATAAATAAAATAATTGGCCCCATTGAAGAAAAATACAATAAAATCAGATAGATCGAATAAGATTCTTTAAATTGAACAAAATTGAATTGATGAATCTTTCAAATACCGCAACTCAATAACAATAAAGAAGACACAAAATAATTTTTAATTTTAGCAATTGATAGATATGGTTGCATATTTGTAACTACTTTTTAAATCTCAACAACTTTACTAGATAAAGGTCAATTACAAACTGTAGGAAATTAAAAATTTCACTGAACTTAGGTACCTATTAAATTTTAAACAGTGCCCTAGGTCCTTTTTGCATTTTCATTCGTACCTCCATGTGTTGCTTTTTAATAAAAAAGAACTACCTGAATTGTTAATGTGTACTGTAAACTTGTATAATATTTGTTAATATCATAAACATTATAGTTTGTATATATGTACTAGTACAGTCAATTAAGTCAAAAAAGAGGGTCAACCTCGGAATGAAAGATATTAAACTGTAAATTTGTACAAACCTTTATTTTGGCATTCTAAATGTTGTGTCAAAAGTCACATAACATCTCGTGTCCGCGTCTTAGGATATTCAAGGTTAAAGGTCACTAAAATCAATTTTTCTCTAATATCTCGCTTCCTATGGTTTTAATAACATTTGCATCTAGTATGAAAATTGTAGAGCATAAAATTCTCCACAAATTTTTATCCCGAATATTTTTTTATATGTTTAACCGTTTTCGAGGTAGAGCGCGGGGAACGCCCAATTAATAAATAATACATGTTATTTGTAATTATGAACTTTTTTGTGATTGGTTAACTTTATATGATAGATTAACAACCGCCACTTCGCATTGTGTATTTCTAAGCAGTGCGAGTTCTCCACGCATTACCTCAAAAACGGTATAAAAATTTGGAACAAAATTTCTTGTGAATTTTATGCTCTACAATTTTCATAATAGATGCAAATGTCATTGAAATCATAGGAAGTGAGATATTAGCGAAAAAATAATTTTAGTGATCTTTGACCTTAATCATTTTAAGAGGCGGACACGAGATTTTATGTGACTTTTGACGCAACATTTAGAATTCCAAAATAAAAGTTTATACAAGTTTATATAAGTATTATTATCTTTCATTCCGAAGTGAATCCCCTAATATGACTGGATTATATATTAAAATTCAATTGTCACCGCTGCCGAACACCCGACTGGACCAGAGCCAAGTACCTGGGTACCTTAAAAGGTCACCTTCCGGTGCATTTCTATTTCAAATTTCTAAAATCTATAGAGCCCTGTAGTTAATAGTCGCACCATCAACGTTGAATTTGGATTACTTCGGGTTCATTCTACAGATTTTGTAAGAAATTATCTTTATTTTCTGAAATTTTAATATTCCCAGTGCCAAAAATTGCATGCACAATGGAATGTTTTCTGACTATCATGGTGACATGAAGCACGTCTTAATAATGCTCGATCACTAGTGCTGAAGACTATGAATAAAGTCTTCAACAACGTATTTGATACTTAACAAAACGTTTTCATAGCGAAAATTATCTTAATGCTGAATGCCCTTTTGTGGCCAACATAGCTCATCATCTTCATAAGGTCGTCAGTTCTATGACTGGTTGGACACACACCTCCACTCTTTCATATCCTGAGCTAATCTTCGCGTTTCCCTAAAACTATAGAACATCTCACATACTTAACTATGCGAACAGTAATCTAATCTAGGTCTACCTGACTATTATTTTTACAAACTTACTGTACTGGAATAACGTGGTATATTGATAGATTAATTTAAAACTAAGCATATTGACTTTTCATTGGTTTTAAGGTTCTTTTTTATTTATTATTACAGGATGCTGCCTCGGTTGCAGTCGGTCAACAGAATACAGCCGTTTCGGCCGGTAGTAACTTGGGAGAATTATCACAGACCGACCTCACTTCTTTGGTAACAGGATTGGGACCGGAAAATACCCCTTCTGATCACATGCCCGATACCGAGGACATCTTTAAGCAATTAGGCGACAGTAATTTCGAACTCGATCATTTCCTCACTGAACTGAATGCAAACGATATCAAGGTGAGTATATATATACATACATGTGCACATATTATTTGTAGTATCTATAGGAACATTTTTATTGTACTTTAAGCACCCATATTGTAGAATTAAGTACTACAAGTGTAGCACCCAAATTTGCTCAGTGGCACCATCTTTTGGAGCCATAGCGTTTTTTAATGAGATTATAAATTTTTTGCGTATGACTCTACCTTTTGATCGAAATATTTTTTGGTTTTATCTGAACTTAATTTTATTTTTTTTTTTATTATTACAGCAAGAGGAAAACAACAATGTGCTGAATACATCATCGGTACATTCGCCGACAAACGATGGTAGCGCGAACTCCAATTCACAGCACAAATCAAATCTTCTAGAGCGTAGAAATTCTGCATTCAAATTCACGATAGCTGCCGCGAATCCTCTCCTCGCTGAGAAATTGGCTACACCTAGCGGTCATTCGTCTCAATTGGCAACTTTCAACGGTCGACCGGAGGTGGCGCCTCTTATACCAAAAGTCGAGAAAGGTAAATCAATTTTTGTTCCTTTATCTTTAGTGCCAGATTTATTTTTAGACATAAACGGGGCTGAAGATTAATATTAATTTTCGGCATATGTTGTTTTATAACCCTTGATTATTGTGGGTTTATTTAAGTGTTTTCCTATTTTTTTACGAACTTATTGATTTGCACTTATGGGAAGAATGCGTAGTCAAATAGTAAGGCCACAGATGGCGAAATGGCACCATTAATGAACATCATTATCTATATGATTTTGAAATTAAAAAGAAAAACTCCGTATAAATAAATAAAATAATTGGCCCCATTGAAGAAAAATACAATAAAATCAGATAGATCGAATAAGATTCTTTAAATTGAACAAAATTGAATTGATGAATCTTTCAAATACCGCAACTCAATAACAATAAAGAAGACACAAAATAATTTTTAATTTTAGCAATTGATAGATATGGTTGCATATTTGTAACTACTTTTTAAATCTCAATAACTTTGTACAATAAATCATTACATGACACTAGTTGCTACCCCCTCCATAGGGTTGACCTAAATTTAGTATAAAAGGGATGTTGGTTTCACCCAANACCCCTCCTAACTCCTGTTTCTGCCTCTAATATGTCTCTGACTAGACCTTCATGCCTGAGAAGGTGTCCTATCAACCTATCTCGCCTATTTTTTATTGACTTCCATAGAGTCGTCTGCTTTCCTATTCTTTTAAACAGCTTCTCATTTCTAACCTTCTCTATCCACGGTATCCTCATGTAGCACCGAATTAATATTTGTAAACTTTTCCTGTGTGTGTAATTGGTATTTTTTTTTATTCTAATGAAGTAATGAACTAAATATCTGTTTAAAATAACAATGAGTAAATACAGAAGTACCTATAATGTTCTAGTTACTCTGTGCATCTGATTATCCAGTTACGTTTTCAAACGAAAAGAACCACTGGATTTTATTAATTAGGTTGCCTCTAATTATGTTCGCGTTTATTTAAATGAGCCGAAAACCATATTAATATGAGATGCCAACGCTACGGACCACGTGAAAATGCAAAGTGCAACGATTTATCATCTTAGGCCTGTCGCTTTATACACGTGTACAATATTGCAATGCATTCGAGAAATATTTAGGTTAGATTGATGTATGTATATTCTTGTAATTGGGGCGTTTTGAATGTACAATTGCTAACGGATGTAGACACGCGTGTTTTATTCAATAAGCGACTTTGTTTTACTACAACTGACCCCACGCTACGAAATTATCGATAAGTGCATTTGTTATCTGTTGTTGTGAATTATCATTAACGTAAAACAGTAAACGGAAATTGGTAGACACTTCCTTGTAATCTCACCTAAACAGTTTAAGACATTAACTAAAAATCATCATCATAAGGTCGTCAGTCCTAAGCCTGGTTGGACACGTACTTCCATTCTTTCCGATTATGAGCTAATCTTCGCATTACCCTAAACCTAGAACATCCCAATATCCTTAATTATGTGCGAACAGTAAACTAATCTAGGTCTACCTCTACTCCTCTTAACTCCTGTTTCTGTCTGAATATGTTTCTGACTAGACCTTCATGCCTGAGAAGGTGTCCTACTAACCTATCTCGCTTTTTTCTTATTGACTTCCATACAGTCCTCTGTTCTTCTACTCTTTCTAATACCTCTTCATTTCTAACCTTCTCTATCCACGGTATCCTCATCATTCGCCTGTAAAACCACATTTCTAACCTTTTCTTTTCCGCCGTGCCCTCTGTCCACGTTTCGCACCCGTGCAACGGCGTGCTCCAAACATACACCTTTAACAACCTTTTTCGAATTTCTAAATTAATCGTTCGCGAACAAAGAAATGACTTCATTTTATTAAAGACGACTCGACCCTACGCTATCTTTTGCTTTATATTCCTACTACACCGTCCGTCCTGACTTGTCTGACTTCCTAGATACCTAAAATCGGCCACTTCTTCTAATTTTTCGTTTCCTGTCTTTATATTTGTTCTTTCCCTACTTTTTCTTGCATACCAGTATTTTTGTTTTACCTTTGTTTATTTTCATACAGTACTGTTTTGTCAATCTCGCTTCCATTTTATTTAAAGCTATCTCTAAATTCTCCTTGCTAAATGCTATATCATCTGCAAATCTAAGCATAATAATCTTTTACCCCTGTATATCTATCCCTACAGTTGTACTGTCTTTAATGATGTTGATCGCGTCTTCAATGAATAGATTAAAAAGTAGTGGAGACAGTGTGCATCCCTGTCTGACTTCTTTCCTAATATTTACTTCTCCACGTTGAAGCCCTATCTCTATAACTGCCTGTTGCTCTTTATACAAATTACGTATCACTCTTCTATCCTTGTAACTCATTCCTACATTTTTAATTATATATTAAACATCTTCTCCCATTTAACATTGTCAAAACCCTTTTCTAAATCTACAAATGAAACATAGTAAATTGCTATTGCCTACCAGCATCATACATAAAAATAAAAGCTATTATTTGTGTGCTAATACACTTTTTAGCGGTAGCTTTAAATGGCTAAATAATGTGTTGTTATTATCTGAATGTTGATTCAGAATATTCAAAACAGGTAAACGTTTGAATTTTTTTCACGGCTTGTGGCTTACCAAATAAATGATGCTTAATCCTAAAACTTTTGACTCTCTCGGGCGACATAAATTGTCGTAATATCCTCTATGTTTTTGCTTTATGCCAGGAGTCGGAATTTTTCTTATTTAAGTATTCAAATATTTGCTTATAAGTTGATCTTAATATCTAAATTATCCTATGTTTGTATACATAATTATAAACATTGAAGTACCTGTTTGAACAATCAAATATTTAATAGACCAAATATGTATTTGAATATCTAGATATTAAATCAAATACACATTTGAATATTTGAAATCTTGTAGTATGATGATTTGAACACTTAATATTGAAAATGTTTTATTTGTTAAAAAACACCTGATAAGATCTTATAACTTAAGAACTATAAGTAATTCCTCAGGTACTATATGGGCCACAACACTACCACCCTACATTTAATTAGTATCCAGCTATTTGGGTTTCCAAATATTTAAATTTTTGAATACTGAAATATTTGGATATTTGGATATCTAATTATTTAAACTTCAAATAATTTCTTTTGAAAATATTTGAATTATATTCCTTTCTGTTCCACGAATTAATTAAGGGTCAGTTTATATTTTTTTTTGTGACATTAAAATTAATGTTGTGTCGGGAAATACTCAGTTGCGTTGGAATTAAGTTTCCTTATAATTAAAACGTGTTTCTAATCCGCCCCTTACGGCGTTTTACACCACTTCGGAATGAAATATGGCATTTTTATGTAATTTGCCATAAAGGAGGGAGGTCGTCGGATGGTGATGTCGACTTGTGTCCTACATGTGATTCTAACCCTCAAATAACGAACATAATGAGTAGCATTATGTTAAAATATATACACAATCGCACATGTCTATGGTGTGTGTTAGAATGTAAAATTTACAGGGTGATTCGGAAGATTAATAAAATCCAAATAATAAAATCATGGAAACCAAATTGACAGCATGTGCAAAACGGGATATTTTTTGTAAATTTTCTCATTTATGTGATTTCGGGTGTCCAAGAAGAAAGTTAGTGAAACCAACCCAATTGAATTTGGGAAAATGACACATCAACTGGCGCTCTCCAGATTTTCTCTCGTCCGTGAATGCTTCTGTAATTACTTTTTATTTAACGATTAATCATAAATAAATAATTAATACATAGCGTTTGTCCTGATGAAAGATATGATCTATCAAGTAACGAGAAACATTTTTGGGATCGGTTCTATAATTTCTGGAAGAACACCCGGTTAATAAATAGTTCTAGAAAATACTACAAATGTCGCAGTAAACGCCACCTGTAGCACGATGCTACATTTTAGGATTACGTATGCTCCAACAAGGTCCACTTGTGTGGATATCTACTTGCTGTAAACGAATCCCAGCGTAGCCAACCTCAACGTAATAAGCACGTTAGCTTAATCGAATAAAATAATTCGAAGTGGTCTGTATTCTGTCGAAACTGCCAGAGGCGGATCGCGATTTCGATCTTTTTGGATCTCATCAGCGCGTCGCAGGCAGCTCCGACAGAACACAGACCAACTTTTACCTGCTGTCTTAACAATGGGTTTTAGAATAATAATAAATAGTTCCATTATGTATTAGATCTGATTAATTACATTTTTTTTAAATAGGAACACAAAACAAATTTGTGGTAACGTTTCAGGAAATGATGTTATAAAGAATTAATACCTAATTAATATAACTTTAACAACTTCAAGTTATTTTAATAGAATCTATCTCAATAAATATGCGAGAAATGTTTAAATTTACAGTATAATACATGTCTCTCTCTATATATTTAAGCGTAATGCTGTTTTCTGGAAAGTAATCGCCCTGTATCTTCTCAATTTCTATAAACGGCTTCACAACGATCTCGCTATGAGCAGTTAACTAAGAACATGTGTGCTATTTGGAAGCCTCTTCTAAACCAAACGACCTGATAAACATCCCTTTTCACTTGTGGTTGACAGGGGGTCACACACACTTATTTTATGGTATTTAGTAAAAAGCCTACCGTTAAATGGTTGGGTGGTTTGGAGCGCGAGGAATTTTGAACTCTCTTAATTGGGTGCGGATGATGTACATTAATTTTATGCCCCAGGAAGGTGGAAGGAGGTGGGCTAAAAGTGACAAAACATGATGGGACTGAAACTGTGCAAGGAATGTTAACATCTCATCTTACGTTTCTGGGAGCTATTATATTGTAGATGTACAGAATCGCGACTAGATTAACAACCAATTATTGCTTTCGGTAAGAAAAACACGTCGTTAGTATGAATAAAAGCCAATGAATAAACAGTAAAATTTAAGTAACATAGACATATGTACATACAGATTAGAACGGTTCCTGCCTCAGTAAAACTGGTCCAGTTGCTCGGGACACAGAATTTGTGA